CTGTTTGGTCTGTACTCTCAAGACCTCAGGCCAAAATTCTCCTAGTACAGCCCTTGCACTTGGTTAATAAGATATATTTACATACCTCCAACTCAGTTAGTAAATGCAACATAGAAATGATAAGAAGTAAGGAGAAACTTGTAGATCAGTGTTGAAAATTTCATATTTTAGATGCCAATAGAAACTATCGTGATAATGAGAAGGGACAGATGGTCTGCCTGGATACACTTGCAGCATTCTACGTTCAACAAGCAAGAAAAGAGAGAAACAAGGAATCTAAAAAGGAACTATTTACCAAGGTACTTTAAATGGATCAAATAAAGTAAAAGGATAAAGTTATGCGCATTTTTAACTGTTTTCTTTTTACCTGAATTTCTTATCAACCATTGCGTCTTCTCAAGTCTGTTTCTTCATTTACCACAACCAGATTATGGATCATTGGAAATTACAACCTGAAATTATGAAAAATATTAAAAAGTATTGTCATTAGAATTTTTTTACATTTTGCTAAGCCCTTTTACATGGTATAGCCAGAGTTCTATATTATATTTTACTTGTATTTCCCACTTTTCCCTCTTCTGTCACATTGAACGCAGACTGGTATCCCTCAGTCACTCTTTTCCAGTCTCCTCCTTATATGTCATAACCTTGTTCAGAATGTGTCACAGCAGCTTAACCAAGTTAGCCCTGTAATTTTGGTTTTATTAACTGAGTTGATAATGTAAATTGGTTAAGTTTCAAAGCTGACATTCAAGCGTCAGCCCTCCATCAGAGTGAATGCTGGCCAATGTACATTATGGTGGCCAATTTATATTTATCCACTCAGTTGAAACTTTACATTACTAATACATTATCAAAATATTATCAGCATTTACTTCATCAACTCAGTGAATAAAACCCAAATTACCTTGTTACTCCCACTTACCTCCTTATTCAAGTTAGCCCTGCTCTGGTACACTTGCCTCAGCTGTTTGATTTGTTCTTATTCTGTTTTGAATCACATATTTGCTTATTTCTAAAGAGAAATGCATCCAAACTTTTCCTTGACTTACATTACAGTACAATACAGTCAATACAATATTTTATCAATAATTCCTAGAATAGAATTAACTCAAAAGATGAGTAATAATTACTCATAATTATTTCTTCCCATTTAGGCAACATCATTGTATTCAACAGCAGACAAAATCATCATGTATGACCAGGTAAGTACTTGTAAGTGTGGCAAAAAATTGAAAATTTGCTGTGAAAATTAATCCTAAATAATGCATAATAGTAAGAGATGTTCTGGTAAAAATGATTTTAGACTACAGGATTTGCATTTTCCATTGGTCCCAAAATAATTGTCACAAAGGAAATTGCAATTCTAACCAATAAAAAATCATTTCAACCTGAAGTAGTCCTTCACCATGGACATAGTTGTACTTAATTCTTTCACCCTCTTACCAATGACAAAATCTTTTATCAATCTTGATCAAAAGTTGTTGAGATGTCCTCATTGTTCTGCACAAAATTTATGCTTGTGTGAAATATGATCTTTGTCCATTTTAAAACTCTACCCCTCCCCCTTCCCTCCTCTCCCTCCCCCTTCCCTTCCCCTCCTCCTCCTCCC